TGTTATAAAAATCATTTTAAAGTTTAAAGTTATTTGATAAATTCTTTTAAAAAAGATTTTTTAATATAATGTAATGTTAAAATGATAAAAAAAAAATACATTTTCTAATGTACAATAAAGTATTAATTCAAGGCGACAAAAATGCCAATAATAATAAAATTAATTAAAATTAGTTATCATTTTTTATCTCAATTAAAATTATTTACCATTTTTTTATGAACTAAAATTATTTATCATTAATTATTAATTAACCAACAAAATATATAACAAAATTGTAATTAATTATCATCAATATTATCCTTTATTTTCTTGTGAACCAGAACCAAATCACAAAGAAAAGAAAATTTGAGTAAATCACCAAGCCATCGAAAAATTCCAACCAAACCACTATTAAGTATCATCAATATTTTTCATTTCTCTCCTAAGAGCCAAACAGCCAACCACCGAAAAGTTCCAGCCGAAAACTTTAATTAGACTAAAAAATTAAGAGAACGAGGGTGAAAGTTGAAACAGAGCATCACATATTGCACCAACATGAATTCCATAAGGGAAATTCAAAGAACAAGTAAGAAAAAATTAAAATTGAAGATTAGATCGAGTGGGCAATCTCCAAAATTGATTAACAAGTTCTGATTTTTTAAAAAATCAAATTTCAAACAACCAAAACCCAATTGGTATCCTTGGGTTGTAGTAGAGATGGGGACACTGGAAAAGGCATGAGGAGTAAGGAGCGGGGGGAAAAGGAAGAGGAAGAAGATGAAGAAGGGTTGTAGTGGGGGCACCGGAAAGCAAGATCTAAAGGCTTATTCGAAGGACAGAAAGAGAACGATATGGCCGGAGAAAAAGCAGCCGACAGATTGTGAAGACAATAAGCAGCCGACGGATTGAAGACAAGAAGCAGCGTCTGCAGTTAGGTTTTGTTTCGTTATAATTCTGATGATATATATCTTGGGTTAGTTGTAAACATGTCAAGACATTATGGGTAAAATAGGAAGAAAATAAAATTTCATCCATAGAGACGGAGAAATTCCCGCAAAAGCATCAATTTGGTGTTTTTTGGTTTCTTTTATACCAAGAGCACTATATATTTTTTCTCAATTTATAATTTTTTTAAACTATTAGTCATAATGTGTGGAAACATTTGTCTATAAACTAATCTCAATTATTAATTAATAAATATTAGTTATTTTATTAATTATTAACTATTTTCAATAGTCAAATTAAGATAAAATTTGACAATTTATCCTTGACCAATTTGCACGTGGCCATAACTATAACTCCAACTTTTTTTTTATAAAGTGATAAGTTTAAATTTTTATTGGAAGAAAAATTTTAAATTTATTTTAAAAATTTTTTTAAATAAGTAAAAAAAAGTTTATAAAAAGCTCAAATTTAAAATTTTTCAAAATTTATTGTTTAAGATTTTTTTAAAATTAAAAAAATTAAAAAATAAAAATTTTTAAGAAAAAAATTTAAACTTATAAAATATAAATAATATTAAAAAACTGAAACTCTTACAACTTTCACCAAACATAATCATAATAACATTTAGTAACCTACTAGTCTACCCAGGAACACGGTAGAATATTTTCCATTCTTTTTTTATTATCAGAAAATTTTCTTTTTAATTGATAAATCATTTTTATTGGTCTGTTTCATTAATAGGATGATCTAAACAACAATGCGCTTTGATTTAGTAGTTTGGGTTTGATTGAAAACCCTAATACAATCTTTAACGAACATTGAATCTGCACATTGCTAGGGTTTAGGGTTTTATTGATTCAAAATAGAGGACGACCACCCATAGAATTTGGAAGCCCCTGCACCTTGCCGTCTTGTCCCTTTCAGCTCCGCCTTGTCCCTGCATCTCAGTTTCTCATCTGCGCTTCCTCCAACCGAATCTAAGTATAAGCATTTAACAAATAAATTTGTGAATTTTAAATTAAATTTTAATTAATTAAAATGAAGTAGTTTAATGTTAAAATTTTAATTTTTTTTTAAAGTTAAAGTTGATATATATTACATATATAATACACACAGTTAAGACAATTTGACTTTTGATTTGTGATTATGGTTATGGTCACACAATTTGTTTGATATTTTATTTATTTATAATTTTTTTAAAAATAATTAACTATGATGTTAGCAACATTTGCTTATAAATTAATTTGAACATATTAAATAATAAGTATTAATTGTTATAATTAGCTATTACCCATTTTTAATGGTCAAATTAAGATAACAATTTAACAATTTATATAAGTTTAACAAATTTGTAATGTCACCTAATCAAAACCACTAGTTCAAATATAAAGACATTTAAGTTGCGTTTGGAATTTCGGTTCGAGCCTTTTTCTTGTAACTATATTGTAGTTTTAAATATATACATATTTAGTTTTTTTTTTTGATTATTTTTTTTTAAATCGCATAAAGTTACAATAAATCTATACTAATTTTCTATATAAAATTAAAAATTTTATTTTAAAACTTTTTTATTGTAATTTTTACAAATAACGCCTAATATTTAATACAATTATAAAATTACCCATTAAAATTTAATTTCATTTAATTCAATTATATCATAGTTTATAATATATTATTTAAACTTAATATCTTGTTTACTTAAAAATTTTATAAAAAATTAGAAACTCATTCCCTTCTTATAAGTTGCTCCTATGTGAAATCCAAAAAAACCTCATTGGAAAAAACCTAAATTAATAAGTAGTAAATGTTATATATTTTAATAATTATACATCATATAATATTTTTAAAATTTTAATTAATAATTAATAAAATTTATTATATTTCATCAATAATATTTATAAAAAATAAATAATTAAATACTAAAATAACTTTTAATCACAATTATAATATAGTACAACATAATTTAACACAATTGTAATTATAGTTACAATCACAATATTTTATAGAAATTTCAAACGCACTCTCAGTAACGCATTATTCTTTCTAGGAGCGTGGTAGAACATTTTCCCCTTTTTTTAGTTTTTTATTATTAGAATATTTTCCTTTTAATTGATAAATCATTTTTATGGGCCTGTTTCATTAATAGGATGACCCAAACAAAAATGGGCCTTCATTTAGTACTTTGGGCTTAATCAAAAACCTTAATCGAACTAAGAACGTCTGAATATGCGCATCACTGGGTTTAGGGTTTGTATAGGGTTTTAGCGGTACAAAATGGAGGGCGACCACCTGTAGGAGTCGCATGCCCTGCACCTTGCCGTCTCGTCCTTCTCAGCTCCGCCTTCTCCCTCCGACAAAATACAGGGTGAGCAGGTGAAAATTATTCTGTTGACGACCACCATAGAAGTCGTATGCCCTGCACCTTGCCGTCTCGTCCTTCTCAGCTCCGCCTTCTCCCTCCAACCAAATACAGGGTGAGCAGGTGAAAATTATTCTGTTGACGACCACCATAGAAGTCGTATGCCCTGCACCTTGCCGTCTCGCCCTTCTCAGCTACGCCTCGTCCCTCCGACAAAATCCAGGGTGAGCTGGTGAAAACTGTTCTGTTCTCCACCGATTCGACTAGCATCAGCCATCTCGGATTCCGGTCTCTTTCCTTTCCGCAGGTGATTGTTCTTATTCTATTCTTGTTTCTTGATTGAAGCGAATGGAATTGTAAGAAGCATCTGGGTTAGTAGGGAATTTATCTGGGTGATTTTGTTATTGTCGCTTTAGTTTAAATTGATAATATAACATTGTTGTTGTAGTGAAAAGTGGGTTTGAAGTGATTAAATTATGTGTTTGCTATCTCCTTAGGCTCTGAGTAATCTTTGGTGGCACAGTGCCTGCACTGCATTTTGAAACATGGGAAAGACAACGTACAAGAGGCTGAAGGGAAGCCAGAGCATGAGGCAGAGGTTACTCCTAGCTACGCTTTCCTCTACCCCAATTCTCATAGAGGACATCCGCGCTGATGAAATGTTGCCTGGACTTCGCCCCCATGAGATATCCCTTCTTCGCCTCTATGAGAAGGTTACTGATGACTGTGTCATTGAAATCAATGAAACTGGTAAATTTGTTTTAGGGTTTTAGTGTCTTTGGTAAAGTTTTGATCTTTGTGTAATTGGAATTCTAATGTGATGGTGGTTGTGGCAGGGACGAAATTTAAGTACAAGCCTGGGATAGTTATGGGAGGAAGAAATCTGGTACACGACTGTGGGGTTACTCGTTCTATTGGGTATTTCCTTGAGCCCTTGGTAGTACTTGGGTTGTTTGCAAAGAAACCTCTTTCAATAAGGCTCAAAGGTAACCTTAGTTTAATTACTATTATCTATTGAATCTTCATAACTCATAAGTTCCTAGATGCGAAGTAAAATCTGGTTCTGCTTAAGTGATTAGTGCAGCAATTGGCAGTTCCTAATCCTAGTCAAATTTGGGAAGTGATAGTTAGGCTGAAGAATGGTAGGCATTATAGGGGAGAAATGCCATGTTTGGCTTTGTTCTCTAAGGCGGTCTTGATAGTCATACACTAGTTTGATGCCTTTGTTCTCCTTTCCAGCCTATCTTTTTCATCCAATGTAACATTACTTGATTGTATGGGAAATCAGTCATATTTTATGCTTCTTAAGTGATTTCAGTGTAGCAGTTGGCAACTCCTAATCTAGGATACCACTAGGCCCAATAAAGAGACATTCTTTCAGCCACAAATTTTAATACTTGAATAGGTTTATCAAGAATCCCCTTTTTCTTTTCAATGATGCAAAATAGACTTTGAGGAATTGTTAAACATAGAATTCATCAACACTATCATTTGTTGTGATTTTTGTCCGGTTAAAATATGCAAAGAACACTAAATTTCCAACAAAAATTTTGTTCTTTTCAGGAATAACAAATGATTCTAAGGACCCATCTATTGATACTTTCCTTTCCACCACCTTACCACTTTTGAAGCGTTTTGGGGTTCCCTCAGAAGGTTTGGTGCTGAAAATAGAGAGTCGCGGAGTTCCTCCACGTGGTGGTGGTGAAGTGTTGTTGTCAGTTCCTGTTATTCAGTGTCTAACCGTGAGTTTTTCTCTGCCTGTGTGTACTTTACCTATTTTATTCGTCATTTTCTTAATCATTTTACTACAGGCTGTCAATTGGATTGATGAAGGAATGGTTAATAGGATCAGAGGCGTTGCTTTCACAACCAGGGTTGGAGTTCAACATGGAAATGAAATGATATATGCTGCTCGTGGAATTTTCAATCGTTTGCTTCCAGATGTTTTCATCTTTAGTGATCATAAAACTGGTCCACAAGCTGGAAAGTATGTTATAAAAAAAAAACAAACTGTACCCTAGAAACTTTCATTTACGATGGGTCATTAAAAGGTTGAAAATTTGCTCTCCTTGCAGCTCACCTGGATATGGAATTTCGCTGGTTGCAGAAACTACTTCTAAATGCTGCATCTCAGCTGATACTACAATTTCTTATGGACGACAGGATGAAGCAGGTGAATTTGAAGAGGAAGAGAAGAAAGAATTGGCTCCTGCAGCAGACGTTGGTGAGCAACTTGCTTCAGTTCTTCTGGAGGAGATTAAGCATGGTGGTGTTGTAGATTCTACACACCAGGTATGAATTTCAGATGACTTCATGCCTTCAGCCCTTCCACTTGTCCTTCCTCATTGTCTTATTATTATTTAAACTAATTACATTCTTTGGTTTTGTAGGGTTTGTTATTTCTTCTTTGTGCATTATGTCCGGAAGATGTTTCAAAGGTTCGAGTAGGGATGCTCTCACCTTATGGAATTGAAACACTAAGAAACATAAAAGATTTTCTGGGCATTGTATTTAGCATTAATGCAGATCCATCAACGGGGACAGTAATCCTAAAATGCTTAGGATGTGGGTTGAAGAACCTGTCTCGAAAGGTCTCATAACAACACAATGCAGCATTGCAACTGTGAATGGCAGTACACTACAATGTCTCTGTGATAAAAATGATTGGGTGGAAATCGAAGTTTAGGCAAAGGGGCAAGTCTGTTCCAATTATGAGTGTAGTATTCCAGTGTGTATCGCTGATCTGGAAAATTTTGAAACTTGATAGAGAGGAAAGTTACAATATGGTAAGTTATTTCGTTGATTTTGTTTTGATCTCTACTTCCTAGACGTGATGTCAGTATTAGTTTATCTAATACTAACAGTTTAGGTGGTTCAATGTTTTGGAACTGGCATACATCTTTCTCGGTGCATTTGAGAGGATTAAATTCAAATGAATAGAAAGGCCAGGGGGTAAGTATCAATTTAGTCCCTTCAAAATAACATGATTTGTTTGGAAATCAAACTACCATCAGTTTGTTCCAAGCTTATTCAGAATCATCTTATGCTAACACGACAGGAAAAACAGAAAAATAAGACTATGGTTGGGAGATTTGTTCATACAAAACAATGGCCCTCTAATCAGGACACAGGTCAATGCATACAACAAAACTATAAACCATTCTCTAAATCAAAAACCCCACTCAAAGTAACAAATGGATCACTTGCACCACAAATTGATTGTGTATTTTACGAACTCAGTAAAAAAAAAAAAAAAAAAAAAGAAAAGAAAAGAAAAGGCAAGGCAACACCAAATGGTATACATTTGTGCTCAATGAGCAGTGTGAGTGGTCTTCTTGAAATCAATCTTGTCCACTTTGACCTCTCCGTCAATGAGCTCATAGACATAGACCACAACACGCAGCCCATCAATATCCATGAGCACGAAGCTAGGATTAACATCATATGTGATGCTGCTATAGGCGCCTGTGGCAGACCCAGGGTTTATAACGACTCCTCCCTCATGTTTGTAAGCTGCAAACTGATGGGTGTGACCTGTGACAAGTATGTCTACATCCAGCTGCCTTTGTAGCATGGCTAGTGAGTCTAGGTCCCCCCATGGAATAACCTTAAAACGTTAAGCCACATTAATAAAAAAAAAAACTATTTAGATGATGTATAAAAATCATATATAATAATGATAGGCAAGAATTTCACTTATGATTTACTCTTAGCAGCAGAAGATCAAGCTCAAAATAAAGTTTCAGTAAAGGAAGAAAATGAGAATCTTTTTTCCTACCTTGTGAATTAAGGTAGCTGCTTGAAAGAGATTGCTACATACGGAAAATAATGCATGACTACAAAGGGTGTAGTGATTATCTCAGATGAAATGGAGAAAACTGAGCAGCATGATGCATGACTGAAGGAAACTAGCCACTTAATGATCTAAAACATGGATGTGATACCTGAAAAACCCTCAAAAAAATTTCCAATATAGCGCCTTATAGAGATGCATTTTGTCCAGAAACCATATTTAACTTCACATTACTTTGCAAATTCCTATCCATGCCATTTAGGCTTCATTTGTTATTGTTGTGTTATGGCTGTAGTTGTAGGTTTTTTTGCCTTTTACTATCCTAAAAATATTTAAAATATTGATTAAAATAAGTAAGAGTATATAAAAAATTAATTAAGAATTATAAACTTGCATTTTTCTACAGGGTGCCATGTGAAAAAGGTCTATGTGAAGCATTGTCAAATGAAACCTTAATCAAAGTTCTTAATATATGGAAGCATACATAAACTAAAGAACTC